GGGGGGGGGCTACTTACTCTGACATTTCACGATTGGACGCCTTCTTGTACGTCTTGTCTGTACTTGACAGATCGTGATATCGTTTAGTTTATCTTTTATAGCACATCAAAAAACTGAGACTGAGAATGAACTAGGATAAACAATTTCCGATAAGAAATACGAATGTTAGGTCAATAAATCACCTGAAATTGGTTAAAATCCGTCTCGAAGTGCTACTGCTCCCTTAAGGTACTCCTTAGGAGACCATCGAATGTTAGGTCAATAAATCACCTGAAATTGGTTAAAATCCGTCTCGAAGTGCTACTGCTCCCTTAAGGTACCCCTTAGGAGACCATCGTATATTTTCTAAAATTAATATGTTTATTTTTGGGCCACTTTCGTGATAGAAACTCCCTCTTGCGCCTAAACGAAGAGAGATAGAGCAAAACGGACGAAATTTTCGCCCGTAGGGCTCTACTTTCACGAGTTACCCCTTAGGAGCTTAAAAAAAAATATTTTTTTCTGACTTTTTGACCTACCCCCTTTTTTTTGATACCCCTTTTCAGCCTCTTAGGGTTGGTTGCCAGGATTTGCCGTAGGCGTTTCGTTTTCTAGGAGTGAGCCTTAAAATACCCTGAAAATTTGAAGTCTCTAGCACATCTCCTTCTAGTGGAACAGACAGACAGACAGACAGACAGACACACAGACAGACAGACAGACAGACACGAGGTCGTTTGCATAAGCCCGCTGGATAGCTTTTTCAAAGCAGAAGGGCGGGCTAAAAACAAGGTAGATGTACGCCAGACCACGTCTCGCGTAACAGGCTTCGCGATACCTCACGAAACACTGTTACGCTGCGACGCGCCTGGCATACATCTACCTCGGCCTGCGGCGCTGACACCCGAGTCAGGTAGTGCAAAAATGTGCACAAAGATACGGGCCTCCGGCCCGTCAACGCCTAATCGCTAATCGCTCAGCCAATACACAAGTATTCTTCGAGAAGTAGTCGGTGCGCTGGGAGAGGTTAGAAGGTTATGTTGCACCTAAACTCGCAGACGTCGGAGAGGATGCACCGACCAAAAAATATATAAAGCACTTCGCCAATGAGTCTCTTACCTTTTTATCGAAGGTCTGATGTGGGTCGGGCATTAATTTTTCTGAAATACTGAAAGTATTGGACCAGTGCGACAGGGTCTCCTCAGCGCTCGCCAATAGTTTTGCTCATTAACGAGATAAAAGACGCGAAATAGGTGAGATCTTGTTATATTCCAGCTCCTTCTGACCTGCGGCAACGTATTGAAAACTTTCCTTAACGATTCATGTATGGCAAAGTATTTTAAACATAGCTAATCTGCAGTGGGGAGCACTGAGCGGTAGTTTGAACGGCCGGTTCGCGCCGTCCGGGCGGCGACTTCTGGGGCTCGCGCATAGGCCGCGCTCTCAGCACTGCGTTGCGACCCCCTGGCGCTGGCAACTCAGCGTCCTCGCCTCGTTCGCAACCAACTGACCTCTTGAGCCCGATGCGGGGGCGAGTCCGGACGACGAAACACATTCCAGCCTTTGTCTCGCCGGCCCGACACCGCCGGGCACGCCACTTGCCC